GTTTTTAATTAATTATTCAAAAATTAGAATATTTTTTTAATTACCAATTATATTACTTAATATTTTTCAATCCAGTAGTTGGGATGCAAATTAAAAATAAAGTTTTAATCGAATTAATTTTGTTTTAGTACCGTATTCGGGATCAATTTTGTTTTTAAATTTTAAATCCGATATTTAGGACTAAAAGTTTAAAAATTATTTTTAATATAAATTTTCGAAATTACCAAGGGATTTAAAAAAAATTATTGAAATTTTTAGTTTTGGGCGTTACTTTGTCTAATTCTTCAGCTAATCATTTTTTCTTTTTATAATATTATAGGTATTATATATGCTGTTATTGTTTTTACGGAGTATGTAGAACAATTGACCTATGACTCCTCCTCAGATGTATTGATCACTGGTTGACCACACAAATATATAATGTGTTCGTTGGTGGCAATTTGATTCCCTCCAAATACTTCCTCCATCAAATCAGCACATGTTCCACTACCACCATCACTGTCACACCCTTTATTCTCGACGCTTTGCTTATAAGTTCTGGCTAAATTTTTCAATTTTGTTTTGAGCATATGTACAGTTGTAGGTTGTCTCTGCAATAAAACCAAATAGCAAATTAATTTAGAGTAGTATATAACTGTTTTGATGTAAATAGTATACATATTTAAAAATTACCAAAACTCCTTGGCTCTCCAAGTCAAGTAACACATTCTGCATTGCAAACTTCTTTTTACGCACATGCAGAAACTCATCCTTTCTAGAAATATATGCGCATAAGAATGCCTCGGTCTCACCAATTGTCCAAAATCGCTTGTCACTAAATATTTGCATATCTTGGGAATGTCTCTCTTCTGATCCTGCCGCCAGACGGCAATACGTTTGGCTAATTTTATTTAATGAGGTCGTATTGTCCGGCGATTGCCCATACATATCGGAGTTGGCTTTGGATATACGAGCATTATTCGAAAATATTTCATCCATTAAATCCGTAAACGGAGCTACACAGGGAACGGCAGCTTTTCGTTTGGTATTGCCAATACTTATCCTGTATGCTTTAACCAAGTTTCTAAATTTTATTGACAGCATGTCCACTGTTGTAGTGTGTCTCTGTAATGGTAAAAATAGGTATAATTCTATAAAAAGGATCTGATACCTGTTTTCAAATAAATAATTAGTCAAAACTTACCAAAACACCCTGACTCTCCAAATCGGACAAAACATTCTGCATAGCAAATTTCTTTTTACGCACATTCCGAAATTCCTCCTTTCTTGAAATGTAGGCATGTAAAAATGCCTCGGTCTCTTCGTTAGTCCAGATTCTCTTGCCGCCAAAAATTTCTTTTGCATATAATGATTTATCTTTTGTATTTTCAGCTTTTTGTGATTTTTTTACACTAGTTTTCTGTTTCTTGGATACTGTGTGATTATTGCAATTGATTGAGTTATCTTTATAAATTTCTTCCATCAAACTCCCAAACGGAGCTATCACGGGAGTGTTCGTTCCTTTGCTATTTTCGATAGCTTGCTTATATGCTCTCCCCAAGTTTTTCAATTTTGTTGAGAGCATATCTACCGTTGTGTTCTGACTCTGAAATGGAACCAAATAAAAAATTATGTAGACTTCAACGAGGTCGACATAAGTAAATATTTCAAACATACCAAAACGCCTTTTCTTTGCAAGTCTTGTAATACATTCTGCATAGCAAACTTCTTTTTTCGTACTTTCCTGAATTCTCTCTTTCTCGAAATATATGTCTTCAAAAATGCTCTGGTCTCCCTCTTAGTCCAAATTCTCTTGTCATTAAAACTTTGCGTTTTTTCGGGTGGTTTATCCATTGACTCCATCGCTGGCCGATGTTGTCGTGGTAATGGTGTAGAACATGTGCCGAATTGTTTTGGGGAAGTTATATTTCCTTGTCCGCTTCCATATTCATCCCGATTGCACAGAGCGGACTGTCGCGAAAATTTTTGATAGTCTGTCTCTACATTTCTACCCCAGTTGAGTAATAACTGCTCCTCGGTTGATGTGGACGTATTGTTTAATGATTGCTCATACGAATTGCAACGGATGTTTATGGAAATATTTGGATTATCTGCAAAAATTTCCTTCATCCAAGTTGTGTACGGAGTTTTACACGAAGAATTTGTCCGACTGTTATTGTCGATACCATACTTGTATGCTCTGAACAAATTTTTCAACTTCGTTGACAGTGTTTTTACCGTTGTAGGCTGGCTCTGCAATGAAACAGGTAGTTAATAAAGTCCATGCAATATGTACATTTAAAACTTACCAAAACTCCTTGTGTTTCCAAGTCATGTAGCACATTCTGCATTGCAAACTTCTTTTTACGTTTATTTCGAAATTCCTCCTTCCTGGATATATAGGCATTTAAAAATGCTTCGATCTCTTCGTTGGTCCATATTCTCCTGTTACTAAAAATTTGCTTTTCTCCGGAATGGGTCTCTTCCGATTCTGCTCCCAGATGGAAATTTGTTTGATCCACTTCATTTAATAAGATTTTATTGTTCGGCGGTTGTGCAGACTTAACGGAGCGGGTTTCGGATACACGTGCATTATTTGAAAATATTTCATCCATCAAATCCATAAACGGAGCTATACAAGGAACAGCAAACATTCGTTTCCCGATGCTTTGCCTGTATGCTTTAACCAAGTTTCTAAATTTTGATGAGAGCATATCCACCGTTGTAGTCTGGTACTTCAATGGCAATGAAATAAATGCTATTTTCAAATAAATATTTAGTCAAAACTTACCAAAACACCTTGTCTCTCTAAATCAGACAAAACATTTTGCATAGCAATTTTTTTTTGCCGCACATTCCGAAATTCATCCTTTCTAGAAATATACGCATTCAAAAATGCTTTGGTCTCCGCCTTGGTCCAAATTCTTCTGTCAATAAAAATTTCTTTTACGCAAGATTTTATACTTTTTCGTCCATCTGTCGACTGTAATTTCTTTTGGCTAGGTTCCACATTTCTAAGTACATTCGCCATTTTCCGAAAATCAAGCTATATATGAAAAAGAACCAGGCCGCCTGATGTTTTTATTACCCTTATTGTAAGCTGTGACCATGTTTTCTTTTCATCCTGAGCGTATCTGCCGCTGAAGTCTACTCTCTGTAATCAAGTCAAATTCGACGGAATATTCTGCATAGAAAATTTCTTTCTACTAAATTCGTTCTTTCTGGAAACATATGTATGTTTGCTTTCAAGTTTGTTTTCCTCTTTTGATTAAATTCTTCCGTCACTTAAGATTGTTTAAACATTCATCGTTAATGCTTAATCGTCTTATTTATGGCAACTTATCATTGACGTTCTAGATTTTAGTTTGCCCCAAAAATCACCGTAAACAAATTAGCAACATATGTTTTAATTATACTCTGTTGTCATGCGAATCTTTTGTAGCTCATGTGTGGAATACAATGCTCTCGACAGACTGCAAATATTAAATATACACGTTCTTATGGACGGACCTATTTTGACAGCTGCACGACTACACGACGGCAGGCCGACAGTTGTCGTTCTCGCTAACTTCAATGTAATCCTATATTTACCAACGGCAGTAGGACGACAGTAGAGTGGACAGTAGAATGAAAGATAGAGAGATCAGAGAACGTATTATTTATATACGTTCTCTGTTGTTTTGTGCACATGCCGGCCATTGCTATGTTGCTGCCTTCTCACAAACATATAGTAGGATTCACAACGCCATTTTCATTTCACTGTCGTGCTGCTGCAATCGCGAGCATTGTGTTCCGCACATAATTCCGAATTTATCTACATTATTTTCGAAAATACGCCATATGAAATGACAACTCTTATTTACTAAAATGACAGCAAATCATTTCACGTGCTATTTGATTACCCTTGCAACAAAACGCGCTTGGAATCAAGGTAAACACAGTTTAAATATTAATTCTTTAATAACAAAATCAACGTGTATATGGTATATTATAAAGTTTTTCAGCATCGTGTCCAAAGAACTCAATTAGACATTTTCTTTAGAATGAGCTCTGACTGTGTATCAGCTAAGCGCCCTCGTAACGAAGTTCCTGTAATTGGCACTCACAGTGGAACATTTCATTGCGATGAGGTGTTGGCATGTTTTATGCTTAAACAACTGCCGGAATATAAGAACGCTAGCATTTTTAGGAGCCGAGACGAACAATTGTTGCGTGACAAATGTGATATTATAGTTGATTTAGGAGGCGAATTCAATCATCAACAAAAATGGTATGATCATCATCAAAGAGATTTTACGGAAACACTCAGTTCCCTGCGACCGGACCTTGGGAACGAGTTTAAGATTAGGTAATTTTTTACGGCAAGTTTTCAAATCCTAAAACAAAAAAACAATACTTCTTTACAGGCTCAGTAGTGCTGGTCTTATTTATGCTCATTATGGTGAACGGGTAATAGAATGTATATTAAGAGAATATAGAAAGTCTCCACTATCCCCGGAAAATTTAAAGTTGAGTTTTATTCAAATATATCGTAACTTTATTAGCGAGGTGGACGCTATTGATAACGGAATTCCAATGTACGAAAATGTGGGTGAACCACTGTATAAAATATCAACACACCTCGCTTCACGCGTGCACAGATTAAATCCTTCTTGGGAAGACGAACAGGGATGTGTAATTGAACAAAAACGCTTTGAACTTGCTCTAGAATTGGTTGGAAAAGAGTTTGTAGAAAATGTTTTAGATATGGCCGGCTCTTGGATAAGGGCACGAGAATACGTTCGGGAAGCATTAGAACAAGCTAAATCTATTCATAAGACTGGTGAAATTTTGATATTGGAACGCTTCTGTCCTTGGAAAGAACATTTATCTGATCTCGAGAAGGAATATAATGTTGTGGGTATTCCTAAATTAGTAATATTTTCGGAAAAGGAACAAAGTTGGCGAGTTGCTGGCGTTCCTGTATCCCCTAGCAGTTTTTTGGGTCGAAAATTTTTACCACAACCCTGGCGAGGTTTACGAGATGAAGAGCTTTCAACGACAGCGAATATACCAGACTTAATTTTTGTACACTCAACAGGATTTATAGGTGGGGCAAAGACAAAAGAAGCTGCCCTGGCAATGGCTATGAAAGGTGTACAATGGAAAGATGACTAATCCATATATATATAAATAAAATTGTAAGATATATTGTGTTGAAAAATAATATAAACCAATGGCTAATAAAGTTTATGATTTAAATTGACATCTATTTACAGCATTAATTAAATTTAGTCGTCGAACAAAGGCGGCCATCTTTGGCTATATTTCTCAATTTGGAGACAGTTTTTTGCTTTTTACATATTTGTATGTTGTAAATCACTTTTGTATTTTGATTTATAAATTGGGGAAATTTAACAAACCGTTGTCATTTACATTTACAAATTGATGCAAAATGTACCATACATTTATAAAAATATTATTTTTTGTTTTAATTTCATAAAACATTTTATTTCATAAAAAGGTAAACATATTTCTAATCCATACGTGTTTTGATTTGTTTTTTAGTAATTTTATCCTTTTCAATAATATAAACAGTCGCACCCCAGCCGCTAATAGCATCACGATCAAATGCGCTAACTATAGCCTGAGATATCACTTCTGATAATTCTGCCGGTTCTAGATCTTCCTTCCATAATGTTTCACACATACCATACAGTTGTTCCGAACAGGTACCTGCAACTACGAAGTCATCCGGCTTATTTGGACATCCAATAAGGTCCATGTTACATATAAATGGCTCCAAAGTTTTGGGATGTAAGCCGGCAATTACTGGTTCAATGAAGTATGGTCCGAATCGATGTTCGTATAAAAAATTAGATATCATAGCAGAAAAAGGTTCCGGTGTCATCTCCCGATTTTCTCGATCTTCATATAGTTTTTTGCGAAACATGATACGATCATGCACAGTTAGTATGTCTGTCTGCAAACCAACAAGCCCCAAAAATGTACGGGGATTTACTTGGAAAACTTTCTCAAAATCTGTGCTAATTGTTTGAGCTTGTATACCAAACCGATGATCAGTTGCAATGGCTACACAATTCTTCCCGCGCATAGCGACGAGACACCCTCCGTTATAAGCCATAATAGACATTTTGCAGCTGTATTTTCTCAAGTTAATCCAAATAAATAAAATTAAATTATATTTCAAGGAGAGGAATGAAATATTTCCCAATGACCAACACAAAACCAGCTAAACACCAAGATGACTTTTTGTTTCTGTCTGACAGCCTCAACTCGTCAAAATAAAGTGAGGTTAAAAGGAGGTGCCAGATTCAACGAAACATATTTTTTAATCGTTTTTATTAAATTTATGGTAAAACGGGTCGTCTGACATTACGTACTTTATGAACACTTCCTAAGTGGAAGTCAATGGAATTATTTTAGCAGAACTTTCATTCAGCTTTATAACATAAAAGTCTTAAATTAAAAATATCTATGCAATCGTTACAAGTTGCGCATCAAAAAATACTACAATTACATTGCGTGAAACCTCATATGTAATATTTTAAACAATTTATAAATCAAGATTTAGCATGGAAAAGAGCAAAAATCGGTAAATTTCAACACAGAAAAAAAAAAACAAAATCGTTCGACTTATTGGACAACGGTTGTCTGATTGTCAAATTGTCTTGAAGTTAGTGGAACTTAAAAGTGAGCACACCGAATTCAATACCGTAAGAAAATAAGCAAGGTCCCAATATATTATAGCTTAATTGAGAGGGAAACAAATAATTCGATTTGCAAAAATTTAAATTAAATAAGTAAAAATTAGTAACAACAAAAAATCACGTTCATATTCCATACCAACGGGCAATACTGCAGGTGCATCTGGAGAAAACACCTTACCTTCTTCAATTGGATTGACTGAAACATCGAACGAAATCAGAATGGCCGAAGCTGTGATTGATGAACGTGCGCCACTGCCGACACGATTCTATTGTCATGTGTGTAGTATGGAAGTAAACATTCCAAATACAGATTTCACCTGCCCTCATTGCTCTGGTGGATTTGTGGAAGAGCTACCATCGGTACCGAATACTGCAAGTGGCAGCAGCAGTGCAACAAGCTTAGCTGACGGACCCAGCAATAGCAGTTCTGATGCACTTGGCTTAAATCGTATGGTTGATTTAGATGCAATACGGGGGGAAATAGAAACACTTTTAATGTCCCGCAACGGACCCATAGAAATTGCCATTGGCCCGGCGAATAGACGCAGTAGCATGCTTTTGGGAAGTGGAGGAGGAGCTAGCAGTTCAGGAAATAATAGCGGAGCAAGCGGTGGTCCTGGGGGAGGTCGAGTACATCCACCCAATCTTGGAAGTTTAGACACTGTGCTTCTTGATGTTTTACAATCTCTCTCCGGAGGTGAAGATGGTTACTTTGGAGCTACACCAATGTTTTTTATGGGAAATCCTGGAGACTATGCCTGGGGTCGTGAAGGTATTGATACAATTGTTACTCAACTACTTAATCAAATGGAAACATCCGGTCCACCACCTTTGCCAAAAGAGAAAATAGATGAAATTCCCAAAGTACATGTAACCTCCGAAGATGTAGAACGCAAAACACAGTGCTCGGTGTGCTGGGAAGATTTTCGCTTAAATGAAATAGTACGAAGGCTGCCATGCTTGCACATATATCATGAAAATTGCATTGTACCGTGGTTGGACCTGCACGGTACATGTCCAATCTGTCGTAAATCTTTAAGCGATGAAGAAAATATAAATGATGTTGTTTTGGCAAACACCGATGTTGGTGTAATGGACAGCAGTATGAGAGAAGTACCGCAATCAGACGACAACGTTATGGAAAGTGATGTCTTAAATGTTGAACCTCATAGAAGTGACAATAATGATGAACAACAAACAAACACTAATACGAGCAGTGATGCTAGTCAAACTGGAAACCAGCAACAGCATCAACAACAACAGGGCAACGTGTTTGGATTTGATGATAGCGTTGTCGATTTAGACTAAACATTTCATCTGCGCAGATTTCAAATTCCTATTGTATGGCTTTTTATAATAAATAGGTGTCTGAGTTATAGCAAAAGACGTAGCTATGATTGCTAAAAAAATATTATTATTATACACACCTTAAACAAATTAAACATACTTGCGAAAATAACTCTACATGTCAGCATCTCTATGGAATGTATAAGATGTTAAGAAACTTAAGTTTACCTTAGAACACAGTAACAAGCATTAGTAAATGCTAGCTGATCTTTTTATATGTATGTAGTGATGAAAATAGATTTAATAAATAACTTGTGAGAAAATGTATGCAGACAAAATAAAATAAAAGATGTTGTTCAAGAAGAGGAAAACATACACATTATTAGAACAAATATGCATGCATTCAAAGTATCAACAGACGTTGTTCATTTTAAATTATTTAATTTTTGGTTATAATAAACCATTTAATAAATTTAAAAAGTTAAATATATATAAGCACGTCTATTAAATTCTCTTATGAAGTTGGGTAAACGAAAAGCTTAATAAATGCAACAAATTTTGAATAAATATACAAATGTAATTGAGGATTAAAAAATAGTGATAGTAATGATGTTGGTAGCGTTGACATACTTTACAATGTATTATCGAGGTTACATATTTACTAATTGCAAATACATTTAATAACATTGTATAAAATAGATTTTAAGTGCATCAGCAGAGCAATTATGAAATGATAAATGCTAAAGATTTCGTAAAACGAGAATACTAATAATTACGTAAAACAAATCCTCAAAAGAGTACTTGCTAACATCCACATTTTTTTGCGGATTTTATAGGACACATATAAATAAAAGCGATTAAAATATTTATCTATGGTAGATTGTACTTGCTAAAAAATAAACGTTAATAATTGGTTGCTACAGTTACTCATTTGTTCATTAAATTGTATGTATACGTGCGAATTAAATATTATAAATATTTATTTAATTTTTAACTAATAATTTAGGAACAAATACACCTATGTATATTTATAAAAAAAAAATCTGAAAAAATCATATAAATCGTTTCGTTGTTTCTTTTTCAACTTAAATAAAAAATGTGCGATACTAAAACGAAATATACTTAACAATATTTAAATAAAAGAAGTAAATACAAATATTATTGTTGTTATTTATGAAATTTATTAATGAAGTCTTTCCTCAATTGTAAAATTTAAAGGAATTTGATACAAGACCATGCCTATGAGCTCCTTACAGTAATTAAAGGTACACATAATCCTCTCAAATTTCATAGAAGGGTGATACTCAATATTGAAATGTGCTTGTAAGTACAACAACAATATCCATATGAACTCTCAAATATAGCGCAAATAGTTATAGGGGAAATTACATTTCTTCCTTTATAAATCAGGAAAGGTTCTTCCTCTACGAAAAATGGCTGATACAAGCTATATGTATAATATATTGCATTAAATATTAAAAAAAAAAAAACTATGTAAAATTTAGTAAAGTCCAATAATTTGTTTAGATGTCCATATATGTACAAATGTATGAAGTGTGCGCACTTCCTTTATCGTATTTCCTTTTTATTTCTCTTCTACTCGTTGTCAAAATAAATTCGATACGAACGTGGAAGTAAGCAAATGGAACGAAGAAGCATACAATTTTAGAATATAATATTAAAATGAATTGTACGGAATCTTACAACGCTAATCATTTGAACAATAATCATAATATTGGATTCGACCGGGAAGAAGACATTCATTATGATAATGAAGTTGAAGGACACAGCGACGACGACGAAAACACCAACGCCGAACTATTTATCCGTCTGACAGATATGGTATATTTATATTTTATACTTAAAAAGGATATTCATATTAACACTTTTAAAAATTTAATTGAATAAGGTTCGTAAGCATTACTGCAATTATTTGGAGAAGCAACTGCTTGAAAATATACATGCTTGGCGCGCAAACATAACTGATGGGGTTTCTAACTCTGAGCTTCCGATTGAGAAGGCGGCATTGCAGGAGTGTTGTCGTGTGCTGGAGGATAGGGCATTAAAGTCTTGTATGCATGCACGCCGCTATCAACGCACTATGCTAAAGATTGTAAGTTCACCAGCGGACAAATTGTATTAAATCAATATACGCAACTATCTTTTTAGATAGCTGAAGTTCGCCGCAATACACAAGAAAATCGTTTAGAGGGTAAATTAAAAAAATTTATTGATGCGAATGAAAACAATTGGCTATTATGCAGTCATAAGGCAAAAGCGACACAAACGGACGAAAGCATGTTTTCCTTTGATTATGATCCTAACAGTTTAACACAAGAAGCCTCGAACAATATTTGTAGTACTCCTGGTTTATCGTTGGAACAAAAAATCGAAATGTTTCAAAACCGTCTCAATCAAGAAACTGTAGCTAAAGTGGCAGCCACCCATAAGATGTGCAAACCAATAACTTCGCGACGCATGCTACTTAAACTTTCAAAAAACCATCGCCCAACTCAGAGCAAAAGTAATCAAATATTACAAGACAATAGTGGCCCTGGGCAAAATCAGAAGAGTTTGGGCGAAGGCTCAAAATTAGAATTGACTAGAGACAATTCAAAAATGACACATGATACAAGTCCGACAAAGCTTAAGGAGGTAACTAAAATGAGTACATGTTCCATAACAAGCAATTGCACGCCGATAATGCAATTACATGCTGATAGCATTGGACTAGAACAAGATGATGAAATCGCTAAGGAATTAGACCAACTATTTAGCGAGGAAAAGTCAGAGTTAGAGGAATTACTGGGTCTTAATTCGAATTCAGAAGTGGATGATCCACACGTACGCGGTGTATTGGAAGAGATTAAAAGTGCAACGTTAGATCACAATTTAAAACAAAATTCTAATCAACATCAGCAAACTATAAATTCTTCTTTGGATAATGAAGCATCGCCAATTAACGTGGATAGTTCGCCGCAGCAAAACGTACCCTTACCATGTCGTACTGAAAGACCAGTTTCAAATATGCGGCACAGTTTGTGGCCTTGTGAATTGTATATGCAACGGCGTCGTTTATCGGAGTCGTTGAGTCGATTAGTTGAAGAAGATTTTCGGTGGCATGATCTCATTAAATGGAAATTTCAAACAATTTTTGGTGACGATAGCGATGACGAATTCGCGACGTGCAGCCCATCGATTGAACTAAACGAAGTGCTCATATGCAGTTGCATTCGTCGTATCTCGCCATGGATGGTGAAACATTTAATGAAACCAATGCGGGCTGGTCTCATAGCCAACCGGTTTTTATTTAAAAAACTGGCAAAACGTTTGGCGCATTCTATAGTTCTGGAAAATCAATACCCAGGTGAGCTCAGAAATCAATTGTGTATAAATTGAAATTTGTGTGTATTGGTATTTAAGTTCTGACATAAACTCATACATAAAGGATGTAAAAAATTTTTTTAGAAACAATCGTTCCATAGACATTTTGACCAAATAAAAGAGATTTAATCAAAAAATCTTTGTTGATAAAATAACTAATTTTCAGATGAACGTTTTATAAAACACGCAGTGGAGGAGTACTTTTGCTTGCATCAGGCTGTCGTCAGTATGGAGGATTTGGCCAGTATGCCCAGTCTAAACACAATCAATGATAATTTAAGTTTTTAGAATATATTAATAACAAAACCACACAATGAGTACAGATAATTGATCCTTGCTACAGAAATAAACATCTTGAATTATCCCTTCCTATATTATTTCCGGTTAAATGAATCGTATTGAATATATAAATAAATAAAGAAATATAGTACGAAATTTCCGTTAAAATTTTGTATACACTATTTTTACTATTTTGCGCTTTTAATGAGACAAGTGAGTTATGTTTATTGAAAAATATATGAAATTAGATAAGAATTAAAATGTTAAAGATATGTTGATATAAAAATAACTTAGTTTTATCTAATTTTTTAGAGTTGACAAAAAGACGTGGATAGCCCTAATTAGCATTTGGAAGATTTTAATAATCACCAGGTTAAAAGATGATAGTTTTGCTTAAACTTGATAGAATGTTAAACAAACATTTATTTGAAATAAGAAAAACGTTAACTTCGGTAGCAGCCAAATTTCGTGAAGAAGCTATATGATATAGTGGTCCAATACCGCCGATTCCGCCAGTTGAGCAGCTAGTTCGTGAATATACAGACAGACGGACATGGCTAAATCAACTGATCACGCTGATCATTTATATATTTACTTTATTGGGTCTTCCCCATTTATACCTGGGTAAAAGTAAGTATCACAAACAGCCTTTTTCAACAAACAATAGAATATTTTAAAAACAATAAAACGACGCTTTTTCTTACTTGCTTAAATACTGATTTATGTAGGCACAACAAATTAAAATAACCTTGTAATACTTTTAAATTTATTAAATATTCTTGCAATACAATCATATCATCATTTTCAGCATTTGAAACGTTTCATTCACAAATTCAAGAACTCATTACCAGTTTCGTAGGGACTCATTTAAACATTAGATGTGTATTAGTTGCGCTAACCAATCTCCGCAATTCAATATTTTGCTTATTATATCTACTTTCTATAGACATTGAATATTTTATCTTTTACTCTTTGAAATCATACAATTTATATAAACATATAGTATATAAATAAATTTTAGTTTCGCCCAATAAAAAAAAAAAAAGTTTAACATCCATATTTACGCCTGCCGTGGTAACTTTTTTGTGTTCACTAACGTAGTATGCGTATAGAAATTTCCGACAAAAATACGTTTTTGAAGCATTAACCGAAGATGACTTTAAGCAGACGCCTAGTTCATGCTTTGCCTTAATAACAATACCAAAGCTTTGACAAATTACCAAAATTTATTACCAATTAATAGATCTAAAAACAGAATAACAAGAAATAATCCTGGTCGATGATGTACTATATATTTACGCCCCAACTTCAATACACTCATTTGCATGATTTTTAAAAACATGTCACATATGTATTTCTCTCAATAAAAAGTATTTCAATTACACTTATATGGATCTATAAACAAAATTAACCCTACTAGCTAATAATTTATAATTGAGAAATCACATGAAAAGTCGTTGGAACAAAGGTGAATGGAAGAAGGCATATTTCTCGTATTTAAGGTCGATCATTTTTGCACATGACAAAACGTCTCTTGAAATAAGCTGTGCGGAAAACAAATATCCAACTGTTATCGAAATAAATATATGTAAATATATTGATATTGCAATGGATGTATGTACATGAACGCAGGTTGCACAAATAGAGAAAAATTGAAAACATATTCTCGCGCTAAAAACCTTCCGAATTTTCACACTAAAATGTATTATATTAAAATTTTAGCATTTTGCATACAATTGAAACAAAATAACCAATTTGAACTCTACTCTTTACGCACCCCACGCCTCCTTTGACCTACATAATTGCGCGCGTTCATTTTACATAAGCATACTTTGTCTCCATACATTCAGTTACACGTGTAGTGTATATTCAAATTGGTAATGCTACAGATAATTTGGTTATTTATATTTTAATAGTGTTTCCTTTAATTTTAAATATTCAATTTCTTTAAAATTATAATTAGTTCATTTCATTACAATAGGTGTGTTGGTTGGTTGGGTTGCCTTCTCTTTGTTTTTGTTTTTTCTTTTTATAATTATATAAATTTTAATAATTATAATATATTTAATAAACCATATTTATAATGTTTTACTCTGCTTGTTGCATCTGCTGCTTCTATATGTAGCCATCATATCATCCTTTAGCCTTTAGCCACGTTGCATACGGTTTCAAAGCACTTTTATTTTGGTTTTAACTGCCCCACTTGTGTTTATAGCGTTGTGTTTTTTCATTTGTCGACGACATCGTTCGTCTCCAGTGTTCATTTGCTAAATGTGGAATTGTTGTTGTTGTGATTGTAGATGTACTTTTGCTGCGGGTTTCCTAATTGATGTTTGTTTTGTTTGTGTTTATGTTGCACTTCCATTAGTATTTGCTGTTTACGTTCATGTCATGGCTGATGAGGACGATAGCACTACCTAGAATGTTGCTGTTGCGGCTGTGATCCAGCTGCTGCTGCGCCACCGCCTACTGGTGGAGGTGGTGGACGGCCTCGCCGTTCAATGCCTCTGTCAGCTGTTGATTTACCGCCAGTTCCTCCAGCGCCGCCACTCACACCGCTGTTACTCGTTGATTTCTTTTTTGATGGGTAGGTTTGCTGCTGTGCCTGTTGTTGTTGCTGCTGCAGTTGTTTGTACTCGTCGGCAATATCTTCCGGAGTGGTCTGTTGCTGCTGATGTACCTGCTGGCGGCCGTTACCAGGCATAGTTGCGGCGCTAACGCTACTGCTACCACTGGTGTTTGTTGTTTGTGCAGAGGCATCGGTGTTGTTGTTCATCAACGATTCCCTCGCATTAGCATCACTTTTTGTGTTCGCTGCTGAGACTTTCTCATTATTTACATTATCACTATTGGTTTCCTGCGATTCGTCACGATTATCGCGCTCCGTCTCGCCACCACCCATTGCAATGGTGTCGAGTGAGTCATAGGAAAGAGTCGACAATACAAGCGCTTGTACAAATTGTGATCTACATTGAAGAGAAATAAGATTAATTATTAGTTACGTATTTTAATCTAAACGCGCCAAACTCGGCATCAAGAATTGTACTTTCAATAGAATAATTGACGGAAAATTATAACGAACATCGATATTTCACTTATATGTAGATGACTCTAATTTGAAAAAATACTTATGTATATTTCTATATTGCTTCTCCGACATTTAATACAGCTATTTGAAAGTTTTGTATATAAAAAAAATATTAATAAATAACTTAAAAAAAATAAAATAAATAAAACTAAAAAAAAGGTCTTGATAATCGGGTGCTTTCCAGCAACTGTCATTTCCGAATTTTTAAATTAATAATTATTTACAAATTATTTTTTGTTTGCATTGGTAGCTATGTATACGTTTAAAGAAAAAATCATAACGCTTTTGATATGAAATCTGTTTAAATATGTATAATAATATGAGTTTGTATAAAAAACACTTTTCTACATACATACCGATCAGATCGTTCTCTCTCCATTTCAGCCCATTCTGTATCACTCAATGTTGGCTGCATGAATTTTGTTAGCAAAAACTGTGATTGAACGTCCGCCCCATTGCTTGCGCTATTAACACCCGCACCCACTGCACCGCCAGCAATTGACATGCCGAGTATATTGTTAGCATTGCTGCCGCTACCCCCATTTACATTACCACTTCCGCCGCCACTCTATTCGGAAAGATCCGAACAACAAATTAGGAATACACATTCGGTTGTCGGATGTAATGTTAATATAAAACCTACTTCTCTGTTGTTGATTCCGGCGTTGCCTGTCAGACCTGACTGCGGTTGTTGCTGAGCTGCTAGTGATGAATTAACAGTCCATTCATTGGTGCGACATGAACTGCCGCCACCACCATTGAGACTACCAGAACCGCTTGCACCACTGCCTCCACTACCACCAGAACCACTGCCGCTTAATATCGGACCGCTGCTTATCACCTCTGGCATGGTTGCATTCGAATTCGATGAAGAGACCATCGGATGAGCCCGTCGAGGCAAACGCTCCAACTGTTGGCGAGTTGCCTAAACAAAAACGAACAAAGAAATTACATTAATTAGTATATAAAAAAATTGCGCAAATAAAAAAAACAAAAACATTTCAATGAAATTAAAAACATCAACAAATAATTTCGTCATTCTTTCGGATGTACATATGTACACCGCGTTGACTCCTGTGAAAATTGTACAACTGCGCAATTTTCTACTGTATCATGAATATACATTCATACATATGTATGTATGTAGCCAGGTCCATTTAAATATTGTTCTAAAATACATATGTACTTGTATATAAACATAAGAAACACAAAATTAAATACCGTCACTTGTTGTCGTTCCAATTGTATTTGCATTTGCAATTGTTGCAGCTGAGACGTTTGTGGTCCACCTCTTCTCACGCCCGATAACTGTGAAAGTAGTTCGGCAATAGGATCTACTGATTCTCTTCCGGATGGAGAAAGGGCAGATAATCCGCTCGATGAACTAAAGTGCATATTAGAACGACGTGCACGAGGACCTCCAAGAGTACGGCCAGGAATGCGACGTACGCCACCACCATGTCGAATTGCTGATGGCTCATCGTATATTTCAAAGATACATATTAAGGAAACCCATTCGATGTATTAAAAACAAGAAACAGAAACAAAAAAAACCTATGTATGTATATATGTAGCTTATATTGTGTATTATGTTTAAACTTGGTATTATTCAAAAAGGATATTAGAAATGAAATTAGTTCCCGTGGTCCCGTTCGATGCTCCAATGTTAGATGACCGGCAAAGTCGTCTGTGACTAGATTCGGTTCGCCTCCCGGTAGTCCGGCACATACAGGACACACCACTTCGAGGCTGGTCTCCGTATGCTCGGCTGAAACGTGCTCCAGTAACGTAGCATCGCTAAAACCCATTTTTTTACAATAGGGGCATGTGAAACTTTGTGGTTGCTCCGAGTTGAGCATCTCGCCACCGAAAAACAATTCTATATCGGAACGAGTAAGAATACATTGCATTGGATGATCGACTAAATGACGGGTAGATGTAACGCCATCCTCATAGCAATCAGCACATAAATCATAATCATAGCATATCAAGCATTTGTAGCGGCGACCGTTAAAGTTGCTTTTGAGACAAGAATCACAACTGACTCCTATTTACAATTTAAAGTAATTTAGTGTTAATATTTGTATTAAAATTAATTTTTGCAGTTCTTAAAACTTTGACACATTTCTCAAAAATTTCAAATAAAATGTTTACCTTCATGGCGGCTCATTATTCACAAGTCGAAGTATACCAAAGTGTTGCCTCCGTTGTTTTGACGCTTTACGATGCTGTCACTGTGTGTTTTTAACACGTTTCTATTTACTATAATCTTTTTGTGTGCTTACCCGTTCCTTTAATTTGTAGCTACCGCCGATACAAAGTAGAATAAGAATTATAGTCGAAAATGCACATCAAATAAGTTTTCTTTTCGCACAACTTAACGTTCTTCGCAAAATGCGAATTCCCGTATTGAGTTTTTATTTATATCGGCAGAATATTCCAATATAGATATTTCTTGAACGCCAGTGTTTGCACTTATAACTTTTTTTTATAAAACTATAGGCCACCAAGTACTATGTGTTTTTAATAGATTAGCGTTGAACAAAGAATTATAACGTTTATGCGAAGATACTTTTACAATTTTATCAATAAAGAACTATTTATTTTTTACTTTCGCTTGTATGATTATTTAGCTCCTCTTTCAGCAGGACGTTGCTGCACCGAATGATAGGCCGTGGCCAATTATTCAATTGGTTATTTGAAGAAATAGTAGTAATATCTTTATTTTTTATTGTAATTGTCGTTTGTTGTAATAATGCAGCAACTGGGTATAGAGAAACACATATAATATATTAGTTCATGTTTTGGGAATGAATACAAAATTGGGGAAGGAATGCATTATTAGACAACGCGATGCGATACAGCAACGAATTATATAACATATCCACGGTAATTGTTTGATTATACCGGCAGAATGTATTATTTTGCAAGCAATGAATTTAAATTTTACTTTGTAAAAGAAATTCTCATTGTCTATAAATGTAAAGAGTTGTATAACCTCTTTAATATTGATAAATCGTTTTGCACCAAACATTTCCTGATTCTGATCTTTTTAGCTATTCTTTTCATTTAATATAACAGCGGAATCACTATTTTTTTCTTTTCCTAAACAAATGAACCTTCAATCCACTTTATCCTGTGCTTAATTTTTTTTTTATATCTTTCTCTGTAGATACCTTTCCTCTTATTGCATTCCAATTAGACCAACGAAATTCCCTTAGATATTTTGCAAATTTGTAGTTCTATTCTTATTTTATTCTTTTCGTCTTTTGTATTTCACTCGACAGAAACGATTAAAATTTGTACCAAAAACGATTCATTACGCTAGTTTTACCTTCACTTAAATTCCTTTATTTTTTTATGTATTCTGTTTTGTGTTTGAGGAAAACTCAAATCTAACAAAAGAATCGCAAAGTTCTTTGTTTTCAAAAAGAATTTTCTTTTAACTATGATATTCTTGTTTTCACTTCAGCAATATATTCCATTGCGAAAATTTTATTTTTAACTCCTCACCAAGGGAAGTAAGATAAAAAGGAAAATATTCAGCCCGTTGCCCGTTCACTCGTTTCGTTAAATCGTTAAACATCGTGTATTCTTCATCGGCCAATGCAATGTTGCCAGCTTAAAAAAAAATTTATAAAATACTTCTTTTTCAAACATTAAAGCCTATGACTGTAGAATTGTTTTATTGTATATTAGATTTATAATTTTAGAGTTTTCTTCAAACGTTTAGGTCATTTTATATCCTAAATATATCTACATTAATTTTAATAATTTTAAATGTACTTTAGGCCAATTTAGACCTGGCTAAATATAAAATAATATTATAAAAACTACTTAATGTCACAATTACAAGACGGTTATGTTTAAAGTCTTGCAAAATTTAGGAAAGCGACTAAGTAATACTTAAACAATGATCCAATCATTTTCTTTAATTTTTAATAATAAATAACTTTTTTTATTCTATTAAGTTCTACCTCATAGTGGGTGGAAATGAAAGTGCACCGAGACCATATAATAATTGTTTCGAAGAAATATGTTTCATAAAGTATAAATTGCCAATTTAACCTTCCACGCAATTAACCTTTTGAATTGTTGATATTACAATGTCGGGAAACCACACTAAAATATCTAGTCACAATAATGTTTTCCTTTTCTTTTTACTGCGTCTTAGTAAATGGGATCACAACATTAAGTTACACATCTTATGACCCATCGGCATTTATTGGTCTATAGTTAACCTATTCTTGAGTCAACTCATAGTTGCAAATATACTTATTCACTATAAATTTGTATCTTTCACAATCCTCAGAAATATAATGCATCGTAGAATGAATATATGTGCATATATATGATTTACGGTTGGATGCAACATCAATGCACTAATATAGTTAGCTTTCAATCTAATAGCCAATAGCAATGCAAACGATGACAATTGGAAAAATTCCCATTCTTCACTCTTCCCGCATATATGTAATTTCAGATGGCGAAAGCTTTGATTTTCAATTACTTTATTTTGGTATTAATATATAATTTCTATTACACTCGATCTATCGAATAAATAAATAAATAAAATTCACTTTAACAAAAATTTAGAATAGAAGGAAAACAATTTATTTCGCGACAGGAGATAATTTTTCGGACTTTTATGTTTTTTCTCTTTAATTTTCGGTCTCTCTCTTCTACCTTTTTACAGGGTTGAATCTCAATGTATGCTTTAGCTCTACCTTATTGCATCAAATTATGTTTTTTTTTTTAGTTTAGAGACAAAATTTAACCGAATAAAGATGATCTTACAGTATAAATGAAATAATAAATCTTTTATTATGTCATTAGCATATTTAAGTTTTTTCATCAAAGTTAATTAATGCCCAATGGGAATCATAACGATGAACATGCTTTAAAAATTTAATTTAAATTTTGCTCTATTAAATTATATGTAAAAACATCAAAAGTGAAATAAATTTTTAAGATAAAACCTGGAAGAATATCATTTATCACATAATTTTCTCAGATAAAAATTTCAAATATTTTAAAACTCATTACGCGTCAAAAAATATATTTTACAAGCCCAACCGGTACTTTGTTAGAACGTTTAGCCTAATACTTTTTATTTAGAAAAAAAACCCCTTATATCATGAACGGAAAACTTTTTCTTCATTTTTCTTTTCTTAAATTGGTTAACAAACAAACCTTTAAAGGAAATTAGCAGATGTTGAGTACTATTACTTTTAATGATAATTTACATTTACAGTTATGTTTTAAACAAATAAAAAAAAATGTTTATTTCGAATTCAAAGATAGCTAATATAGCAAAATATAAAAACGACTTCATTAAATTAGCTTTCGTCGCAAGTTTGCTGCCTTTCACTTGCACTATCTATCGATGGGATAGGCTTGAGCAGAGCTGCTTCCCTAACAGCCTTTTTATAATCGCGAAAACGCGGTCGCTTTGGCGGGTTTTCAGCATCGCTTTCACTCGCCGTGCTGCCTCCACCGCTCCCACCACCACAATCGTTGGTACTCTCATCCTCACTTAATTGTTTTGCTTGCTCCTCTCGACGTTTTCGCACATTCAACCAATTTAATAAGGATTTACCTTTGTTATTGCAATCTTTAGATGAATAATTTTTCTGTATCAACTCTATGGGCTTATTGCATTGTTCTGATTTATTGCGCGAATTGTTCACGTAACTAGATACACGATACCACTCCAATTTAGTGGCAGGACGCAAAGTAGCTAAGGCCTCATCGTCTGTTACTCGTTTAAAGTCTAGCCAATCCTGAAAAAGAGACGAGTTTAGCAATGTATACAAGTTGAAGCAAATCCTTTACATTCACTTGTTGCTCGGTTTCTAGTATGGCAGGCATGCGATGATGTAGCCAAGACATTATTTTTGAAGACTCAAATGTTATTATGCTATAACTATATATCCTGTCACCATTCTCATCTTCCCATATATCGAATAGACCAGCCATTTTCAATAGATTGACATTATCAGCAGTCCATGTGGATTTGTTATACATTTTTACACCTTCCGCTTGTGGCATATATAATAGATGTGCTGCTCGTTCTGAGGGTTTAGCTGATTTTGTGGTCTGCCATTCATAAAAGCCTTCGCATAGAACTACGCATCGCTGACCTCTTCGAAATGGACCACGATATAATTTTGATTCCAGCATATGCTCTAACCGACAATTATTGGTTGATAAACCATGTCGGCGATAGTCACCTTTATGCCAAAATGGTATCATACCCCACATCATAGGCACGATAACTTGAGATTGGGCATTGAATTCTTCATTATTACTATCGTCACAGAAATGATCAGTAGATACTATTACAGGTGTAATATCAGTAGGAGTCATATTATATGATGGTTGATAGGTTCGACCACAGTTAAACTCAGACCGCCACTCTGGAGTAAGTAATGTACTCTCAAGAAAAGAATTCGAGTTTTGTTCATCAATTTTTGGTGCAACATTTCTTTCTGTTTTTTTCTCGTTTGTAGTATTAACTAATTTTGTTGACTTATATCTACAAGCGCACAATACATCCTTCGGTTCCAATGTTCTGGAAAAATGTTAAAATAAATTAGTTTAGTATGCGGTATAAATATATGTATTCGTTGTAAGCATTTACAAGCAAGTTCTTCCACACATATCGAAATAATTCCTGCTTATAAAAAATAGTTGCCTATGTAGTAACGTTTATTTTAATATCAAACATGTATTTTCTTTGCCTATAATTGCAACCTTTTTCATGTACAATATTTTTCTTCGAATGAATACGTTGGATTTTGCAAAACGCCGCATTTTATCGATATATTTTATTTTGTTAATCGGTTTAATATGAACAGCTGTGAAGTGATGACACTTCCATAGGCGAATGGTTTGTATACCAGAAAGATTTTATTTCGGTCGTAATGTTAATAATGCATCGTTTCCACACGCCACAAGTAATTATTTTTTGACTTGTAAAATAAAACGGGTTGTCGCGAAAGACTAACCTTGTAGGAACTCGCAAAGAGTTCAAATATTTTAAAACACACAACACGCCGATATGGTTTTTACGTATTCTATTTTGAAGGAAATTATTTTTTTATAAATGAATTGTCCCAAAACCACTAAAGTAATAATTTATTGACAACAAAAGCTATAACTGTAGTTGGATTCCTCAATCAATAAAAAAAATCTGATATCTTTTATAAATCAACTTCAATGCAATTTAAAGCTTGCAGCTAAGGATATCGACGTACACTTATAAATATTTTATCGTTACTGTTTTGCACATCCTTAGAACATTTTCTCTGTGGTTTCATAATAAATTGATTTTATTTTTAATTCAACTACCTGGTTGAACTGGAATATACATTTTCTAAAATGGGTGAAAGATATAATATACACAGTCAATTGGAGCATTTGCAGAGCAAGTATATCGGTACCGGACATGCGGATACAACAAAATTTGAATGGCTAACTAATCAACATCGCGATTCCCTTGCTAGTTATATGGGACATTACGATATGCTGAATTATTTTGCAATTGCTGAAAATGAGTCTAAAGCGCGCATTCGATTTAATTTGATGGAGCGTATGTTGCAGCCGTGTGGACCGCCACCAGAAAAGGCCGACGATTAGAAATTAGTTGCCAAAAAAGGTATTGTAATGTGTATCAACTAGGAAGTTTAATTATCTAAAATAAAGTAAAAATTGATTTTGTATATAAAAGAAAAACTTTGGTTTATTTAATGTAAAAATATCTAATGACCGAAAATATATATGTATATTACGACGTTCCTACGGTGTTTTCAATTTCGAATAAATCTATCTAGTTCCAATTGAGAATTGTATTATGTATGATAGAAGCCAAAATTTTAATTTTGTGTTATTTAAGATCTTCAGTTCCATTCCTACCTATGTACCTACCTATATACGTTAGGCATATCGGTTACCCACATTTCTTTTAACCAACTAACTTTGCTTCTGTTAATTACTTTTTTCAGCCCCTTCGAAAGGCTCGTTCTGTACATTCAAGTTAGCCGAAATTTTTGCATAGTTGCATTTAACCAATTTTAAAACAAATTATATATATTTGTATTAGTGCGTTTTATCAAAGGGATAAACTTTATTTAAATAAAAGTACACTGTCAGACAATAAAATGTGATATTTCATATTTAATTTATATCCGTGATTATTTAAATGTTATAGAAGCATTTAGTCTACGAAAGTGTATCCGGCGATGGTATATAAATAAAAAATAAACTTACATTATATTTTTAAACTTATGCATGTATGCTCTTTGCTTCTGTACCATATAAAAAATTATTAGTAGATTTATATTATTTTTTGTATAAATCTACATATCTAAATGCGAATTTTAAGCAAATAATAATAAATTTCAAGTATAAACATTTGGTGGTCATTTCCGTGCAATTGTATCAAATGTTGCCGTTTAAGCACCTTTTAAATTTTCGAGTGTTATTGTTTGGACTTAATACTCATGCAAAACTTATATATGAGTATATAAATAATAAAATAACAGTAAGTACTGACATTGATGCAGACACAAACTCCAAGGTCCGTGCATACTTGTTTCTAAGTTTATGCTTGCTTAAATCATAGTGAAAATAAAAATGATGGTACTATTATCGTTTACTAGTTATTGTTAAGGTGAATTTCCTCATCCCTTTGTAATTAGTTGTTGAATTAATATACTGATACTATATTCCCAAATACAATTTCAAATAATCACATATTTTAACTCTGACGACATAAACTTTCTATAAATTATTTCCAATTTGTTATTTTATAGTTGAAAATTTGTACGTTCTAGCTAATGTACTTCCTTCTTAATAATATTCTTTACTTTATACGACGTTGCAATGACAAAATATAATATTTGACGTTAACAGCGCTATTCGAGTATTCAAGTCAATGAATAGAGTTGTAAAAAATGCAGTGTCGTGACGATTTCTGGTATTATTTGGAAACGTGCTTTATCAGCAATAATATTGTGCTATGGTTCGACACTCTTATGATTTAAATCATTAATATAAATGAGCTTTTACAAAATTTCGCCAAAGAGTAACTTCTAAATATTAAAGTAGTTCTAAAATTTACTTTGCTAATAGTTTCTACATATTTTTCATATGATATTGCTTTATCCGTACATACATATGTATGTATGTTACAAGCCTACACAAATGCTTTACTAAGTTTGTTCTCCTTTTATGCATTTAAGTTAGGCACTACTTATTCAAATTGTGTGTTGAACATATTGATGTTGAGGTCTTCGAACGTAGTTGTGCCACTTTGGTCTAACATCTGCAGCATGTCGGAAAACTCCTGACCTTGCGGTTGACCTGCTTGCACATGTGCTCCATGGACGACGTGAGGTACATGACCGGTGTGTGGAGCTGCATGAGGTACATGCGGATGTTGTGGTTGAGCGGGATTTTGCCAATCGCCCCACATGCCAGAAGCATTTGCAGGTGGCGGAGCAGCACCTTGCGTGTTGTTTCCGGTGTGATAGCTACCTTGTCGGGTATTACCGGCACTTAATTGAGTGTATGTTGGACCACTCGGTGAACGTGCCGGACTCGTTTGATTGTATTGATAACCCTCAGATACAGCTTGTTGTTGGCGAAGAGTCGTCCAGGTTGGCGCCGCAGGAGTTGGAGAACTGTTAGCCTTCGGTATTTTTGCCATATGTGCTGTATTTGGTGATGGGCCACCTGCATTGGGTGGATAGCCACTTAGTGGCGAGTGTGTAGCATCATAATTGTAGGCAACGGCGTTTTGTGCTGAGCCAGGGCGTGGAACATTATTGCTTTGCTGCCCGGTCATTCCACTTTGTGGGGGTATGTGTGACCCGATCATTCCATGAGTGGCATACATACCATCCGCAGTGCCTGCCGATGGTGTGACATCTCGACGAGCTTGTAAAGTGTAGTCCACAACGGGTGCTACGTAGACATGTTCAGCAGTCGATTGATCTGGGGTATTAGCATCATGTCCTGCGTTCGAATGTAGTGTTTTGGCTGAACTATTTGTGCACACAATATATTCTACTTCTTCTGTGTAGGGGTTCAGAAAAGCATTAACATGTGTTCGCAGCCAAACGTATTCACCGCTTTTAGCGCGAGCACGATACATTAACGAAAAGTTCCCCTTTTGTTTGAGTACTTGGTCAAAGCTGTCTTTTACATTCATTTGATCTTCAGTGTGGCAGAAATCGTAGCAAATTTTCCCAAGTAAATCTGTTGGGGTATAACCAAGAACATTCATAACACGTTGGTCGACAAAAGTATACTTTCCATCCATTGCATGACGCGTTATAAATTCAGACAGATTATTAGAGTTTGTCATATCATTGGATGCTGTTGATGTCACCTGCAAGCGCCCAATTGCCACTAGGCAGCAATGTGAAGAATGCATTTCGTCATCCACCGGACGTTCCATATGTACACTAGGAAACATATCAGTTGGTGGCCAGTTCTTTATGTATCCCGTACAGTGCACTACAGCGTAGTTGGTGCCGTCGCGAGAAGGACCGAGTGAGTTCCTTTGCTTCAAACGATTTAAATGACCAGCAACCATTGTATCTGGATTTACATTGCCAACTCGCATACGACATATAAAACCACGACGTGCACCCATGCTAAGACGCATAGACGATTGGTGTCCTTCCTTTTTCACTGTACCAGTTTTAAGATCGAGTATGCGTCCAGTATTTTGGGACTCTTGCGTGGATAACTGTTCACGTATCTTCTCGCGATCGTCAGGATGAATGTGTTCATATAAGCTTGTGCCATACCAATCACTTTGAGTGTAGTTCAATACTGGAGTAACAGAATCTGAAACATAAATAACACGACCAGAATCACAAGAAACCACAAAGAGAAATCCATCAGCAGCTTCTAATATTAAATGCTTCAACTCTTGATCGGTTAGAAAAGAAGGTTTGTAAGTGCCATCACTGCTTGTATTTCCTGTGCCACGTAAAGCTTTCATATGTGCAACAGCCATACGCAGTATCGTCAGTTTGTCAGGTTTACGGGCTAGAGCACTGCAGGTGGGTACCATATCGGAAAGCTCAGTAATATATGCTGTCATTTTGTTTCTCCGACGTCTTTCAATTTCACAATGATTTTCCCGACTGGCAAAACGTTCCTTATCCTGCATGTTTGATTCGTCCATGACTTCAATATTTTATGAATTTACTGCAGTTTTATATTGTTTCAACTATTGCTTTATAATTTGGGTTGAACGTTTTCTTGGTTCTCGTTGATTTATTCTTTTAGCTTTTCGTTGTTGTACTTGTGGTGTAGTGCGGACCAGAATGAGGTTGCAAGCAATTTGTCTACGTAGTATAAAACTGCGAAATTTTCCTAAATTTAATAGCTCAAGCTTAAAACACAGATGTTTGCACCAAGCATTGTTTGGTATAAATCGCATTAACAAAATGTCTCAAAACAAATCTCACATACTTATTATACTTTCTTTTACAATTTTTCACTAACTTTAGCGATTTACCGAGAAATTCTACACGAAATATGTACCAATGTTTACAGCAAAGTTGACTGTACACGATAGACAGTCAAAGTGTTGCCAGTTTTTTTTATACATTTGTGTAGGTTGTATCCATTTTTTATAATAAATGTTTACAAATTCTCTTAACTTGACGGAAAAATATATATACTGCAAGTAACAACGACAGTGCCTATGTATTTGTGAAGTTTGTTCATCAACTAATTGGATAAAAGTCGCTTTGAAGAATTATAAAAATATTTCGTAACTCATCACCAGAGAGTGGCAACGATTCCAAACATCATCCACAAAATATCAAGTAATGCCGAGTTCTAACAGTAGAAGATTTGATTAAGATCTTTACTTTTATTTATTTATGCCAGAAAGGCTGTGTTAAACTTCTTCATTTTTATTTTTTAGGAAAAAAGAAAAAAAGTATAATAAATTTGAAATCTATAATATGATCTCTAAAATAAACTCTTCATTGAAAAAAATTTTAAAATTTTGTGAGTTTGAATTTTCACTTTTCAGAAAAGATAAACTTGCACAGATTTTTTAACGTGTTAAAAGGTATACAGTATCGGACAAAGCATTTGCAACTGAAATATGATAACGAAAATACTGCCGAATACCTAGAAAATAATTGCCGGGGACCTACTATTTTAAATTTATTTTAAATATTGGATGTTAATTGAGGTAAACAAACCAAATTTATTAATATTTTTCAGTTTATTTGTTCAATGTATGCATAAAAACGATAATAACACCTACATATGTATATTCAATAAGACAAAACAATTGCAACTCAAAGAAAACGGTTCTCTATTTAGAATAAAATAAAAGAGAAACTTAGTATTTTGTAGCAAACTCATTACTCTCAATAACTGCTTCGCATCGCAGCGGCATTGAAGCTATAAGGTTGTTCACTATAGTTTGGGGTATATTTCTCCATGGCTCCAGGGCACTTTGAAAAATCTGATCAGTATTTGGCACATTACTGCGATCAATTTTTTTTTATAACTTCCCATAATTTTAAAGGCCTTGGGACTGTGGAGACCACTCCATTACATCCACTTTATTCCTCTGTAACCACGATTTTAGGACCTATGCCATATGCTTCGGGTCCTTGTCCTGGTGGAAGACCCACTTAAGTGGCATTTCCCATTCAGCATATGGCAACATTAGGGATCCCATAATGTCTCTG